AATTGACTGTTAACTAACAAAAACTAGTTGACTGTTAATTGACTGTTAACTGACAAAAACTTTCTTTCAGCTAACAAAATTAACAGAATTAATTTTATAATATTTCATTAATTCTATTAATTGGTAATTAGTTGATTGTTAACTGATAAAAACATAAAATAAGAGGTTAAAACCTTCAAACTTGATAAGATGAGGGGCTTAAAGTAGGTTTTCGCCCAAAAATATATAGGGGGAGTAGGATAGAATATTATTATGTTTAAACGCAAATTTCTGCTTAAGTAATCTTCCCATATGGGATTCTTTACCCTTTAATAGGGACTACAATCATGACCCTCCTCTGTCCCATTTTCACCTAATGACCCAGAAAAAAACTAAGAAGTCCTATATAAAGATTGGATTATCACATCCTTCCCATCGCTCTATTCTTCACTACTTGTTCTTCGGCATTAACTAGCTCCAGCAGCTTCCACCTCCACCCCCCTCCTCGCCAATCATGGCTTCTGCATCCAAACTCCTCTCCGTCTTGTTCCTCCTCCTTGCCCTCTCCATGCAGATTAATGCTCGAGAATTCTTCAGCAAATTCTCAAGTGTGAACACCAACAACAACGTTAATGACAAAGAGACAACAACTTCCAATGAGCAGCAGCCAGAGACCTTCCTCCCAGAGAACCAAAAAACTGAACTCCCCAAAAAGGAGGAGCAGCAGTATGTTACCAAGCAGCAGCAAGAGCCCACTTTCCTTCCTCAGACCCAAACCCAGAGCGGTTACGGCCTCTACGGCCACGAGTCTGGCCAGTACCCTCCAGAAACCACCACCACCACCACAAACAACAAAGTCACTTATGCACCATATGTCACCCCCATCAGATCTGGAACTTTTGAGAACTACCCCAACACCAACACCAATAACAACAACAACAATTACTATTATAACAACAACAATGCCTACGAGGCTGACCAGCAACAGAATTTGGGCGGCGCCAGGTTTGCTGAAAGCGGTAGTTACAGGACAACCGCCACAAATGAAAACAATTACTACAACGGCAATGGTTACAACAACAACGCGGAGAGGCAGGGCATGAGCGATACAAGGTTTATGGAGAACGGAAAGTACTTCTATGATGTCCAGAACGAGAACAACTACTACCAGAACCAGCAGTCCCAGCAGAATACCAGAGTACCTTCGAGGACTGAGTACAGTTATAGCAACAGGGGAGCTGGTTACTATGGAAACAATGCAAATTCTTACAATCCCATGAATGACCAGAGGTACGAGAATCAAGAAGACTTCGAGGAGGAGTTCGAGCATTGAACAACGGAAAGCTGAAGAATGTTAATTACCGTGATGAGCGGTGTTAGGCAAGTTTAATTTAGAGAAATTAAGAGTAAAGGAGAAGTGCATTTTAATTTATTGGGTGTTTGTGATTACTTTTCTATGTTTTTTTTTGGGAGTTTGCATACTACTGTATCATTTCCAAGCTTTGAAAAAGCTTGGGATGAGATTGATGATATGGATCGTTATGGCTTTTGTTTTAATATAATATTAATAAAAATAAACAAAATATAAATGAGCTTATAGTAAGTTACCATAACCACACCTATATGCTAAATTCTAAACACCTTTAAGACTCCCATCTAATAAACCCGTGCAGAGGATTGAAATATTTGACCTGTAGAACAAACAGACCTTTGGATATTTGTCTCTTGATTTTAAATTGTATAATATAAAATAAATTTCACTAATTTTTTAACTTTTTTGTTCAAATGTCATATTATTTAAATTTATAATCCTTTAATTTTACAAAAAAAATTATTTCTAAATTATTGAGAAGATTAGCACAAACCTAGTGATATTGGATCCCTTCAAATTTGCTGCAAAACTGCTATCTGGTTATTTAAAAATAGAAAAATACTAGGAGTTAACTCTCTGGTGTCCCTTAACTTTTTGATACATTTTGTTTGAGTTTTAAAACTTTATGGGGTAACATTTCCGTCCCTACACAAAGCCACGAGAGGCTTATAAGTCAAAAGTTAAAACCCCAGACTCACTCGAGCATTACTGTGCCAATACTGAAAAATGTCCGCCGCCAGGTCCGTCCTCCGGTCAGCCGCTTCCCGAGCCACCGCTGCCGCCAGGCTAAACGCCGGACCCAAGACCGTGCCCCGACCCCTCCGCTCCCCTTTCGGGATCTCCAAGCAGTCCCCGCTCTCTAATCGCATTTTCAGGTAACAAGCATTAATCTTTCATAGCTTAGTGTGAGTTTATAATTTCATTTTTAATACCTACTAAATTGAATAACTGGAAAAGGGCACCTGTGGAAATGAGCTCCTGTGTGGAAACGATGCTGCCGTATCACACTGCCACTGCTTCCGCTTTGCTCACATCGATGCTTTCAGTTTCAGGCCGGAGCTCCGGTTGGACTCTTGATGGTATGTTCCTCTTTTCAATACCACATATTTTTAATGTAGTCCAGCAAAGTTTGGATTTTTTTTTTTTTTCAAGTATTAATGCTGTCTGTATTTTTGCCTATTCATGCCTTGGATTCATTGAAAGTGGATTTGGTGTGATGCATTGCTTTGATTTGAGTCTTCTGTTCTGTCTGTTGTTATAAACTGTGAAGCATTTGTTCTTTACTCATAGAAGTATAATCAGAGTCAAATTTTAGTCTAATTTTAAGTTTTAAGTTTTAAACAGTAGCAGATTTGAACCATGGAAACCATATTTATAGATGTTTACTTGACGATCCTGAGGCTAATTCTGTATGATGTATGCTCAAAAGATGAGTGCTTTAGTATCTAGTTCATGTTGAAGGTCGACATAATCTTGTTGAAACATGATAGGCCACAACTAGAGTGCTGTAGATAAACCCAACTTCTATAAGCAAAAGCCAGATGGTTGCATGTTCATCCCATTTCTTTTCAGATAGGTGATCTTGGCTCCTTTGTCTTGCATAAGATAGGATGAAGGGATGTGTATTTTTTTTCCCTTTTGTAGGGCAAGACAATACTAGATGAAGATGAAGCAAATAAGAGCAACTGAATTGCATTTGTTTCTATTCAGATAATTTGAAACTATTGCTGAATGTCCTCTTCATCTGTCTAATTGAGAAGATTCTCTTTCCATATTAGTGTTAAAAGGATGAGTGGTCAAGGACCGTATCTTGTAATTTGGACTTAGAATGGTAGATATAATTTTCTCCAAATCTTTCTAAATTCTTATAGTTATTCTGCATGTTAACTCCAAGAACTTTTGAAAACAAGTGAATTGTTGTACTTCCTTTTCTCAAACCTTCTGGCAAAATTCGTTTCAGTTTAAGTGCTTTACAGGTCAGAAAAGGAAGACTCTGAATTATGCATATATCATTGTAAAGTATGTTGCTTTTCACATGAGGGTTTTCACTTGCTTTCAGTTAGTAATTTTATTGGATGAGCACATTTGACTCCAACAGTTTTTACTCATTGCATAGAGTGTTATTTTGTTTGGACTTAACTTGAAGTGCATCTTCCTTTCATTCTACTCATCCAATGATAAATTTGTAAGGCCCATATTTATTTGTTGTTTCGCTCAGATTGCAATGATGATGTGTGATGAATATCAGACAGTTCGGGCAAAGTTTTGATACATACACTCTATGCCAACAAGGTGGTAAAAACAAAGCTTCATACTAGGGGTTTTAGATGCTTTTTTCTACACATAAATTTAACAAGGCACTACATTCTTATTAGGCAATAAGTTGGAAATAATTAAAGTCATTAATGTTTGGATGTTAACTGTTTGCAATTTGAAGGTTCTATTAGGGTACCATGTGATAATGATGTTACCTTAGAAATGTGTTTTCACTCCTTTAGCTGCATTAAGGGTTAGTGAAAAGCACATAGCTGAGCTGAATAAAGTAAAAGGAATCGTGTTTCACTCTATGTTTCACTGTAGTTTTAGCCTTTAGAAGCCATTCTCAGTGAATTGAATTATCTGCTCATATTTATCAGTTTTTAGGTTTTTAATAGAAAGCTGATGTTCTCATTATTAAATATTAACATATGTGAATGTGCTACGTA